AGCTCCACTCCCCTGCCCCACCCAACAGCATGACTGTCCAAGGCACAGACTACACACCCACGTGACAACCTGGCTTATGGGGAGTAACTGAGTGACAGTTCTAAGCACACAGAGGAGATAATCATGTGGCTTATCCCATGACCCATGTGAAAAAGAGGCTTTAAAATTTTCTAACTTTGCCAATATTTTCTTTAAAAAATCTTTTTTTTCAATTACAGTGTACATTCAATATTATTTTGTATTAGTGTCCAGTGTATAGCACAGTAACTTTACCAATCTTTTCAAATCAAGTAATGTCCTTAGTACTAAACAGTATGATTCCTCCCATTGCCTCTGGATATGGCTGTAGGGGAAAAAGCTGCATTATTCATATTAGTCCTTTTGTCCAGAGATTACTGCCATATCAGCGACAAGAAACCGTGACTGAGTGAGGGTTAAATGTTTGAAATTCTCTTCCACTGAAGGCCGGATCCTGTTGCCTAGTGACTGCTGCGTTCCTGCTGCTGTCACTCACCTTGTCTCCAGAGAATTATCCCCCACTCTCATAAGGAAGGTTATGATTGGACAAAGGTGACATCATAACTCTTAGAGGAACAGCATCTCTTTGTCAAGACAGCACCAATAAGATGACTCAAGAGTTGGTAGCAAAGTGTTTTGGTTCCTTTGTTTTGTTTCTATAATATAGCGTTAACAAATAGATGAAACACTTCCTTCATTTCTCGAAAAGCCAATTTTGCAGCTGTTAGTGGTGGATTTTTGCACATAAAAATATCCCTTGACAGCCCATGTGGATTATCTTCACATCCATGTAATCGATGCTAGCCTAGTCAAAGCCTGTTCCCCCTCAAGTACTTGGTCAGCACTTGCAAAGCTGAATAGATTACAGGCAGAAAATGACTACCCCGCAGCTCACTATCACACCATTGGTTGCAGAGTGGAATTTGACACAAGGCAGGTTCTTCTGGGTGCTCATCTGAGAGGTACCTAAAGTGGTTCCAGAGCATCAGTTTCAAGGACAGCCCCATAGTAAGACTTCAGGGCGCATACTTAAGGCTTCAAAAGAATACAAAACAGAATCTATTAAAGTTGAAAGCAAGTCTACTTTTAAAATCAAGCAGTTGGAGAAATCTTACTCATTTTAGATCATAAACAAACATAACCTTTTTGATTACTTTTGAAATTACATCGCCCATGTTGATACTGCTTTGAAAACCAAGCCTAATGGTCTTTATTTTTTTGTATGGATTGAGCTACCAGTGTGCCCTTCAATATTTTAGCCATTGAGGACTAGCTATGTGATTGGAGTGTCAATTGCAGATTCATTATGCCAGGCTGCTATATTAAATCATCTGTTAAATTTGTTCTTTTCTTGGTAAATATTCAGTATACAGTATAGGCACAGCTGGTATAATTGGATAATGGCTTCCAATTAATGCTCTATTTTGAAAGCTGCAACTCCATATAAAGCTTATAGTTGAGCTGTAACAAAGGCAACCCCTCCTGGGAAACAGGGGAGAGAATTCCTTTCTGCAATTCTACTGGAAAACAGCTCCTTAAAGAGAGAGTGTGTGTACTAATAAATTATGTATTGCTCTGCTTTTACATCCACTGATAAGAGACCCTGTAGTGTGTCAGCTGAAATACGTAAATATATTACCTCTCCCAAGAGCTGATTGCAAGTATTTGAATATTGTAATTTCTTGTTTGAATAATCAACATGGTTCTTAAAATGAAGTAAAGCTGACCATACATTTCCTGGGGGAAAAACCATCTATAAGAAAGGAAAGATAGACAGTATTTAATAGAATGAAGTTTCAAGAAATCACTTATTCACAGAATTATCATCCAACACTTACATTCAAGAAAAACCAATTTCATAGAGAATTTCCTTTAAGAATTCAGATTGGTGTGCAAGTGAAAGCAGAATATGGATGGGAGTTCTTTAAATGAAATCTTAATAGATTGGAAGGAAAAGTTCTGCTGCTGACATGGTTCTTGCTCATTGGACTGGAAAGATACCAAGAATCTGGGCTTTTACAGAATTTGCTTGGTAGCAGTAAGTTATGGTGTTCTAGAATAGTGTTATAATTTGATCAAGATTCAGTTTTATATTTACTTTTATTTTACCCATTAAGAGATTTAATACTGTCAACAACATAAAGAGTGTAAGCAAATATGCCTGACCTTTGCCCTAGAGGGAGCCATTATCTTTATTATCCTGGATAACAAACCTGTCTTCCACCTTAGAGGGAGACACTATTCCTGTCTTCTCTGGCTGGTCACTATACAATCACCCTTGAAAATACAGGGTGGAGGAAAAGTAGGTTTACAGCCCTGGCATGTTTGGCTCAGTTGGTTGGAGCCTCATCCAGTGCACAGGTTGTCTGTCTGATTCCTGGTCAGGGCACATAACTAAGTTGCAGGTTCAGGAGGCAACCAATTAATGTTTCTCTCTCCCTTCCCCTCTAAAGAAACACACACAAAAAAATATCCCTGGGTTAGGATTCAAAAGAAAATTTTTATTGCACTTATAGGGGTGACATTGGTTAATATTATATAGGTCTCAAGTGTATAATTCTATAATACATCATCTATATATTGTGTTTGCTCACCACCCACCAAATGGCTACCACTTTTATTTTTAAGTATTTCTTTTTTTTAATTTTTATTTTATTGTTACTTTGCTTTACCACAATTTTTTAAAATTTAAATTCTTTAAAGTATTACATGTCTCCTTTTTCCCCATTGACCCCTCCCCGGCTGCTCCCACCCCCCAGCACATGCCCTCACCCCCCTACTGTCTGTGTCCATGGGTTATACTTATATGCATGCACACAAGTCTTTGGTTGCTCTCTTACCACCCCCCCTCCTCTGCCTACCCTCTGAGGTTGGATGGTTTGTTGGATGCTTCTATGTTTCTGGATCTATTTTTATTCATCAGTTTATGTTGTTCATTATATTCCACAAATGAGTGAGATCATGGGATATTTATCTTTCTCCAATTGGCTTATTTCGCTTAACATAAGCTCTCCAGGTCCATCCATGCTGTTGTGAATGGTAAGCATTCTTTTTTCTTACAGCAGTGTAGTATTCCACTGGGTAGATGTACCACCGTTTTTTAATCCACTCATCTGCTGATGGGCTCTTGGGCCATTTCTAAATCTTAGCTATTGTAAATTGTGCTGCTATGAATATAGGGGTGCATATATTTTTTCTGATTGGTGTTTCTGATTTCTTGGGATATATTCCTAGAAGTGGGGTTACTGGACCATTTTTAATTTTTTGAGGAAATTCCATACTGTTTTCCATAGTGGCTGCACCAGTCTGCATTCCCATCAGCAGTGTATGAGGGTTCCCTTTTCTCCACATCCTCGCCAGCACTTGTCGTTTGTTGATGATAGCCATCCTGACAGATGTGAGATGGTACCTCGTTGTTGATTTGCATCTCCCAGATGATTAGTGACTTTGAACATGTTTTCATATGACTCTTGGTCTTCTGTATGTCCACTTTCGAAAAGTGTCTATTTAGGTCCTTTGCCCATTTTTTTATTGGATTGTTTATTTTCCTTTTGTTAAGTTGTATGAGTTCCCTGTAAATGTTGGAGATAAACCCTTAGCGGAGGTAACATTGGCCAATATGCAGTGGGCTCTCTTGTTTTGTTGATGGTTTCTTTTGCTGTGCAGCAGCTTTTTATTTTGATTGCAGTGCCATTTGTTTTTCTCCTTAGTTTCCATTGTCCTAGAAGCTATATCGGTAAAGATATTACTACCAAATGTCTGGTCTGATATTTTGCTGCCTATGGATTCTTTTAAGATTTTATGGTTTCCTATCTTAAATTCCTTTATCCATTTTGAGTTTGAGTAAGATGTAAGTTGGTGGTCTTTCATTTTTCTTTGCCTGTATCTGTCCAATTTTCCAAGCACCATTTACTGAAGAGATTGTCTTGACTCCATTGTATGCTTTTGCCTCCTTTGTCAAATATTAATTGAACACAATGGCTTAGGTCGAGAAGGGAGAGGGAGATAGGAACATCAATGATGAGAATCATTGATCGGCTGTCTCCTGCACACCCCTTACTGGGAATTGAGCTTGCAACCCGGGCATGTGCCCTTAATCGGAATCAAAGGCGGGACCCTTTAGTCCGCAGGCTGATGCTCTGTCCACTGAGTAAAACCAGCTAGAGCAGGCTATAATTTTTTAAAAAATGTATTTTATTGATTTTTTTACAGAGAGGAAAGGAGAGGAATAGACAGCCAGAAACATTGATGAGAGAGAAACATCGATCAGCTGCCTCCTGCACACCCCCTACTGGGGATGTGCGCGCAACCAAGGTACATGCCCTTGACCGGAATCGAACCTGGGACTCTTGAGTCCGCAGGCCGACGCTCTATCCACTGAGCCAAACCGGTTAGGGCATAATTTTTAAATGACTATTATTTCAAAGGGATGCCTTGAAAGGAGGGCTTAGAGAGGGTGGTGGTAGTTTAAAATAAAGATTACTGTCTCACTGGACTTGTTTTAAATGAACAATTCTATTGTAAATAATACCATTTAAATGACCAGTGCAGAGCTTCAAAGGGAAATGAGGGGGGAAACTAAAAATCAAGATGTTGGTTGTAAATTATTCCATTTTACAATGGATGCCTCAATTTTTAAACATATGGTATTACTGGTATTTTAAAATAATCTTAATAATTTCATATATTCACATTTTCTTAGTTATATTTTAAAATATCTCATGTATTTGTGAATTAGAAGTTCAACTTTAGGAAGAGAATAACTTAACATTACTTTAGCTGTCAATGGTTAGGATGACATGTAAAAACCAAGAAAAACAACACTTAAAAAAAAACCAGACTTGCAAATTTTCAAAATGAAACTTTATTTTCCATCTGTATATTCCAACTTTGTCACACTAAAATGGAAAGTGTGTGTGTGTATAGGAGTATGAGTCACATACATCTATACTACCCACACCCAAAAACAGAGAAAACACAAAAATGTTATAAAACAAGGTTTATTCTGCAATAGTTTGTCATAATGAATTGCATTTCTTTGATAAAAATAAACTTTATAAACATTTTAATAATCAGAGATTAGATACAAAAACTAAACATCTGTTAAGTTGTTTTAATCTGAGCAAAGATTGGCAACTGAGAAGGGGTTCACGTGGGCTGGTCATCTACTGGCAGTTAAAACTCAAACTCAGGGCAATTTTTATGCTACATTAGAAAAGGGGATAAGGAAACAGTATGATTCAAATTTCTTGAATCAAACAGCATTCTTACACTTTAATTAAAAATAAATACTAGTTACAATGAACTGGCAATTATACATTTTTATACACTATATGATGGCAATGTAATACTTTAAAATTAAGCACTTTAATGAGAAATGTACAACACTTTAAAAATAAGTTTTGACAATGGCACTGGCAGTTAGATGCAAAAAAGATTGCTTTAAGAAAAAAAATGGCAGGTATAGCATTAATATACTTTGTTTTTCAATAAATATTTTGACCACATCATTAAAATATTGAAGTAAACTTTAAACATTTCAAACAAAAACTATAAAATATATGTAAACCAGAAAGCCTCAAAGTTCTTATTTAAATGCTATGGTCTTAACAAGTTTTTAAAGTTTCTATAGTATTTAAGACGATATAGTCTTTACAGATTTGTGAAGTATTCACATCTGTTGCTTAAATTGCTGGGAAAGGCTGGAGAAGGCCTCCTGGTCTACCAAGACACACACATTTCCTCTTTAACTCTTTCTCTATCTTTGAATTCATGCTAACATTATGTTTAACTGACCATCTAGTATGAACCTTTTTACTTAATGTCTCAGAAAGTAGCAAAAGAAAAAAATACATATATCCTAAACTTTAGTATACACAAAGAAACCTAAGTTAAGAGAAGTCATGCTGGCTATAAGGAGAGCAGGAAAGGCTGAGGTGGAAAAAAGGAGGTGATCCACCGATAATTAGCTTTTCCATGAATACGAGTAATGTTTCCTTTTTCTGAATTTGAAGATAAAATATTAACTAATTTAGTAATATATTGCACAAATAAATTTGAAAAACACATAGTATTCAAGAAACACTGATTATATTTGGGATGAAGATTGTGTTGAGGCAAAATCTTTACTAGGGATCTACTTATAAACTGGAATTGGTTCTAACAATTTATATTGGTGTAAGGCAAATTATAAGTTAGCTTAAATCAGTTTTAAACTATGTTGAAAAATATTTACTTCTCCAGGATTGTTGCTCTTATTACAGTAAGAGTTGTTGATGATATATTATTTATAAATACAATTTCCAGTTCATAGAAATTCAAGTGATTTTCCTTAACTGAGTGGTTATTAGCCACGTTTTTATTTCAATACACCTGAGAAATGGGATCATAATGTCTATGGAAGTAATAACAGGGGACAAAATTATAAAGGTTCTTGCCTTTGAAAATAATTATGTTGGTAAATGGAAAGTTAGGCACTGAATTCTGTACAAGAATTAAGTGTAAAATATTGTGTAACTTTTCTGTTAGTTTTTAGTGCACAATTGTTTATTGCCCTTGCTAGTGATAAATATAACTTCAATTTTTAAATTTCTGGGAATACATGAAGAGAGAGAGAAAATCAAGCTTAAAGAATTATTGTTACTCATATTAAGACAAAATAATTATGAAGAACTCTATTAGAACTGAGAATGACTCCCCCCCTCCTTACCTTCATCAGCCTTTACTTAGAATAATTATCTTACTAATGGACAGGAACCAGAGAGAACATTTTTGGTACAGAATTTCAGCAGAGCCAGGCTGGTGTGGTTCAGTGGTTTAACACTGACCCATGAAGTAAGTCACTGGTACGAGTCCAGTCAGGGCACATGCCTGGCTTGCGGGCTGGAACCCCAGTATGGGGTGTGCAGAAGGCAGCCAATTGATGTTTCTCTCTCATCGATGTTTCTATCTCTCTATCCCTTAACCTTACTCTCTCTCTCTAAAAATCAATAAAAACATATTTTTAAAAAAAGAATTTCAGTAGAACAAAATGAACTGGAATCAGGTCATTGAAACACTGTTACTAAAGTCTATCAAGAGGGCCATGGTAAATGGTTTAGAAATATTGTTACTAAAATGATTTTTTATAATCTGTACTATTTTATACTGTGGTAAAGCAATTTTTGGTGTTAATATTCACTGTCTACAGTAAAAAGTGTCAACTTGAGTTAGCCACTTTCTGTAGTAGATGTGACATATATGAAGAAAAATCCAAATACCTTATCCTGCATACTTAAGGACTATTTTTCATTATTAGCAAATTTAAAAATTACTAAATTTCAGCAGCACCGATTCTATTAATGTAGCTATCCAGGTTCAATTACAATTAACATAGAAACAGAACAGATGACAGTTTTGCCCTAATAAAATTTAGAAGTTAAAATATTTATCTCTTAAAAAAAAATCCAAAAAACGCTTTGTAGTCATAGAAATAGCTGAAAGTAACAAATCAAAATCATAAACCTATGTGTGTGTATAAATGTATATACATATATATATATGAAATTATCAGAAAATGAAAACAAGATCACTATGAAACAAGATGTTGGAAAGTTGCTTCTGTCATTCTAAAAAGATATATATAATGAATAAGTTTACTTTTATTACCATCCCTTATACCTTCTGAATAATATAGTCAAACTATACAAATGATATGAAAAAATGTCTCATACAAGCAGATTTGTTCAAATACTTAAAATGCCTTAGTCAATGCACATTTGGAACTGTAATATAAAATCTTTAGGCATGGATTAATGGCACATAATAGGTATTATGCAGCCTTCTCAAAAGGGTATAATGTGCAAGATTTAATTTTATATAAATTTTGAGATCCATGAAGGTATTTTGTCTCTGTAGTTTTGTTACATCCTTTTTAATTGGGTATACATACACATTTAAGTCATACAAAGCTTGAACGGATTTTCTTTCCTAAATGATCTACCTTTATTTATAATGATGTAATATTCAAAATATTTGCACTAGAATACACTCCATTCGTACTACAAGATTTCCAGAATGCACTACATTTAACAAGCAAACAAAAAGATTCTCTTATTGCAAGTGTGTCAAAATGGGTGTTAATCCATAACACATTCTATGGCTATATCCTCTCATTGGATAGTTTCTACTCAACAAAGATAGCTAGTGGCTAATATTTAAACAATGGTTGCAATGCACTCTGGAAAAGAATAATTCAGTAAATGCTAAAGTTTTTGGAAAGTAAAAAAAATTTCAAAGATATTATAGAATTGGAGTGCTTTTAAATGAAATTACATTATAAAATGGCCTTTTCTACATCTTATAAATCCTTGCTTTACTCTCTGCCTATGTAACCAAAAGGAATATTCTAGGTACCTAGGGTCTTTTCTAATTTATATTCAACTTTGTCATGCTTCAACAAAAAAAATTAAAAACAAAAATTAAGATAAAATTAAAAATCCAAATATTATCCTACTGGATTGCATGTGTCAAGAGAGGAGTATGTGAGAGACTGAGCAAAATTTTTAGCTACATCAGCAGTTGATTACAGACTGAAAAAGAAAACGGAGTTGCCAATTATTACATTTTGGCACAAAAAGAGAATAAAAGATTTCTCCTACAAGTTTCAGATAGAAGCTATGGATTTTCTTGTATAAAAATTTCAAAAATCTTAGAAACACATCACAAAAATTATGCTTTTAGGACTTCAAATCATATTTATGGTTGGGCATGATCCTAATAGCAATTATTTAATGAAAATTAAAAAACAAACAAAAATGCTTTGAAATAAACAATTAGCATACCTCCCCTCCCCTCCCCGAAAACAAAAATAAGTCCATATGGCTTTGATATCCCTTGTAAAGAATTAAGTAGAACAGTATTGCCACACTTTAAAATAATTTCACACTAACAGGTATTTCTATTTTTTCCGCTGCTTTTGATTGTGTGTCTTTGCAGTACTTATTAGGGAACCCAGACATGTACGAATTCCAGCAAGGTGGAGTAGAGACCCAGCTGCCTCTTTGAGCTCCTCATCAATTTCCTGACATGACATTTTTCGCATCTTTTTGACTGGCTGCCCCTTTGCAGAGTTATCTGCACAAGGCTGTGATACATAGCCACTGTCTCCAAGAGGATCATCTTCGTAATCAACATCTGTATCTTCTTCACTGTGAAATCCTTCACTGCCATCACTTCCCACATGACTACTCTTTGGGATAAATTCATATACTTCATCCACAGAAGACAGAGAAGACACGCTAGACCTGGATGCGCAACGCTGTGCTGCCATGCTATTTGCACTGTAATTGTGGTCTTCTTTTGGATCAATGCTGGTGGCTAAAGAATCACTCTCTTGTAATCGCATAGCACTGCGATGATTAAATGCACTGCCATAACTCCTTTTTTTCTGCATTGCTGTTTTAAGAGAAAGAGGCTTTTCACCTGTGGAAAATAAAACTTTCATTAGGTCAAATGCATTTGATTGCAAAAACAAGCCATTTAAAACAACTATATCATTCCTGAATAGTAAGGGCTGTAAAGTTGGAATGTTTTGTAGGTTCTTTAAAAAAACAAAAAAAACCACACGTCTGCTGACACGGCTCAGTGGTTGCGCATTGACCTATGAACTAGGAGGTCACAGTTCGATTCCCAGTCAGGGCACATGCCCAGGTTGTAGGCTTGATCCCCAGTGTGGGGGCGTGCAAGAGGCAGCCAAGCAATGATTCTCTCTCATCACTGATGTTTCTCTCTCTCTCTCCCTCTCTCTCTCTCCCTTCTTCTCTAAAAATCAATAAAAATATATTTTAAAAAAAACCAGACCAACCATATCATTCTGTGGGTATTAATCTGAAACATTTTAACACCACTTAATGATATGTCTTGACCTTTCCAGGGAAAATGGAATTATTTTGAACTGCTTGCATAGAATGCCTCAATATGTATGTCACCACTACATTAACTGTACCATTACAATGGTTTGCTAACCATCTCCTGGTTGGTATTTGTAGGTTGTTCCCAATTATTCATTACTACAAATAACATTGCAATGAAAATTCTTCTAGATGTCTTTTCTCACACATATGCAAATATTTTTTTAGGAGAAATACCAAGATATAGAATTATTAAGTAAAAGGATATGCACATTTAAAGTTGCAATTGTTATTTCCAAATTGCCCTCCAAAATGGCTGGAACAATTTTTATCCTACAGTCTATGACAATACATTGTTCCCATACGTAACACTTAACACTATAAATCATTTAAATTTTTCATAATTACATGGGCAAAAAAATCATCTCAATATTGTTTCATATTGCATTTCCTTGATTTCTAGAGAAGTTGCATATCTTTTCAATTGAGTGTTGTCAATGTGTATTTCTTCTCGAGACCCATCTATTAATATATTTTGCTGGCTTTTTTGTTGAACTGTTTTCTTACTTCTATTTTAAAATATATTTTTATTGATTTCAGAGAGGAAGGTAGAGGGAGAGAGAGATAGAAACATCAACGATGAGAGAGAATCATTGATCGGCTGCCTCCTGCATGACCCCCACTGGGGATCGAGCCCACAACCCGGGCACATGCCCTTGACTGGAATCAAACCCAGGACCCTTCAGTCCCCAGGCCAACGCTCTATCTACTGCAGTGGTTCTCAACCTTCTGGCCCTTTAAATACAGTTCCTCATGTTGTGACCCAACCATAAAACTATTTTCGTTGCTACTTCTTAACTGTAATATTGCTACTGTAATATGAATTGTAATGTAAATATCTGATATGCAGGATGGTCTTAGACGACTCCTATGAAAGGATCGTTCGACCGCCAAAGGGGTCGCGACCCACAGGTTGAGAACCGCTGATCTACTGAGTCAAACCAGCTAGGGCTGTTATCTTATTTCCTATTTGTAGAACCCTTTTAAATACATATACTCAATATGAATCCTTTCTTTTATATAGTATAAAAAAATGTCCTCCCAGTGTTTTGCTTGTGTTGCTTTTCTTAAAGACTTGTTTTGTTGTCAGAACTCTAAATATTTGATGTCTAATATAATTTGCCCATTTTTTTCTTTCACACATTTTGTACTTTTATCTTTTTTTTTAGTTTATTTTTTATTGTTGACTAGAGGACCGATGCACAAAATTTGTGCACTCGGGGTGGGGGTGGTGGTGGTGGTCTCTCAGCCCAGCCTGTGCCCTCTCGCAGTCTGGGAGCCCACAGGGGATGTCCAACTGATGGCTTCGACCCACTCCCCTAAGCCGTCAGCCAGACATCCTTAGTGCTGCCGCGGAGGCAGGAGAGGCTCCTATCACCACCGCTGCACTCGCCAACCGTAAGCCCCTGAGCGGTGCTCCCCCTGTGGGAGCACACTGACCAGGTGCATCTGCTCCCTGGTGGTCAGTGACCATCATAGCGACCAGTCTTTCCGCCATTTGGTTGATTTGCATATTACCCTTTTATTATATAGGATAGTATTCCAGATGTCCCCTATTTTCCTCGCACTTCCCCACTCCACCAGCTCCTGCCCCAACCCAGGTCTTCACCACACTATTGTCTGTGTCCATGGGCTATGCATATAAGTTCCTTGTTTAATTTCTTCTCATCATCCTCACTCTTCTCCCCTCTGAGATCTGTCAGTCTGTTCCATGCATCTATGCCTCTGGACCTGTTTTGTTCGTCAATTTATTTTGTTCAAAGTGTCCACATATAAGTGAGATCCTGTGATATCTGTCTTTCTCTGACTGGTTTATTTCACTTAGCATAATGGTCTCTAGGTCCATCATGCTGTTGCAAAGGGTAAGATATCCTTTTTTATAGCTGCATAGTATTCCACTGTGTAGATGTACCACAGCTTTTTTATCCACTCATGTACTGATGGGTACTTGAGCTATTTCCAGATCTTAGCTATTGTGATAATGCTACTATGAACATAGGGGTGAATACATTTTTTCTGATTGGTGTTTCAGAATTCTTAGGCTATATTCCCAGAAATGGAACTGCTGGGTCAAACAACAGTTCCATTTTTAATTTTTTGGGAAAACTACACACTGTTTTCAATAGTGGCTGCACCAGTCTACATTCCCACCAGCACGGTACTATGATTCCCTCTTCTCCACATCCTCACCAGCACTTGTTGTTTGTTGATTTATTAATGGTAGCCATATTTAAAGAAGGCTTTTCCTATTCCAAGGTTATAATTATACTTTCCTATATTTTCTTATGTATAGCTTTCATTTTTACTTTTAAATCTTCAAGCTTAATTTCTAAGTACACTATTTCTTCATTTCTTGGTCAATGTAACATGATCTATCATAGCATTAATCTCAATCTTCCAATTGATCACTAAAGAAATGGAAATATAGTAAAACAAAAATTAAATTATTCGAATAAAAATACAACTTAGCTGGAAAGCATAATTTGCTGTAACATTTAAATACCTTGCATTCTAAATTTATAATGAAAAAGGCACTCACAAAAATGTATTTTAAAAAGAAAAGCATGATTACTTACATTCTAGAATTCCTTGTTCTATAGAAGTATTTAAGAGCATCATTGCAGTGGCAGCATCAATATCAGATTCTGAAAAAGAAAAACTAACAATTTTAATGTTTTTTATTATAGGCATTTGCATGCACCAAAAGGTAACCAACATTAAGATTTTGGTGTATATTCTAATTTAAAAAAAGACTAGTGATGGAAGGAGACTTGACTTGGGGTAGTGAACACACAATACAATTATGTAGATGATGCATTATAGATTTGTGCACCTGAAACCTATGTCATTTTATTAATCAATGTCATCCCAATAAATTCAATAAAATTTTTTAAAAAAGAAAAAAATTTAAACAAAATGAGGTACATATTTTGCCATCTGCTTTTGTTCACTTAAAATTATGAACAGTTTTGTGATTAGTATTTTATATAGGAGGATTGACAGGTATAGAAATAATAAAAGTTTTATTCTTTAATTATTTACAATGAAAACAAAACCCTGAACTCCAGTTCAATAAGGTTTGTCCTTAAACAGACTAAATTATGTAGGAATGTACATTAAGGCATTATTACATTTTAACATTTAAAAAAATCCTTATTTATGCATATCTGCAGTTATAAAGTAATGAATTAATCACATGCTAACGGAAATAAAAATAAATGTAATTGGGCAGTCTGGATCATATGAATCTACAAATGCTGAAGGAATAATTATTGCTGGCACAAAAAAATATTAGTACTTATGTCTTTAGTCATAATTATATATAAGCCTATATATATGATAGGTTTATATAATACTCAAGAGGTCAAACATAATTATGAATATTCCATAAGAAAAATGGGCTGGTAAAACCAGCAGGTTCTACTCCAGATAAGGTCTGGAATAAGATTTTGCTCTCATATCTATTTTTCTACTGAAAGGTCCTCTCCATCTTAGTGATCTATTAATCTGAATAACTGTAACTCAATAAAAGTGAAATGGTATAACCTAAAATGTCAAGAAAAAGTTAGAAAATATTTAAACTTTTTAGATTATAAAGGATATGTTTAAAATAAGACTCAAGACATAAAACCTCCCATTTCTTTCTCAAAGCTAGAAAATTTTTATTATCCCAGTTTTCCATTTTACTTGCAATATCTAATTATAAAGTTATTTTAAATAAAGTCATAAAGATACTGACTTGTTCTTCCCCCAACTTTACTGTAAATTCTGCAAAGGCAGGCAATGTTTGTTACTATCTGTAAGTAAATCAGAAGATGGTTGCTATGAGGGAGTACACATAATATTAGAGTTCTTTCCCTTAAATACAATGTGACCTCATGAAACAAAGTCTCTACGTGAACATCTTTCCAATTAGATGTCAGCTTCTTCAGGGTAGGAACATTATCTTACCTTCTGTCTTCCATAATACCTGGGAACAATAGTAGGTCCTTAATAAATGTGGAAAGAGTAAGTATATTATATCTTTGCCCTCCTTTCCTTAGATTAAACTGAGTACCACTAAATTACTAACTAACATTGAGCACTTTCAATCATCTTGGCATACTTTAAGTATTATTAACTCATCTAATTTTCACAACTTTATGATATGTGTACTATTTGTATTTCCATCTTAAAGATGGGAAAACAGACACAGAGGAATCTCTAGGAATGAGAGGTAGGATTTGAACCTCAGTGGTCTACCTCCAGAACTCAGGCCCTCAATTTTTACTCCACCATCAACCCTTAACAGGAAATTCTGCAGAAAATTATAGAATATACTGGAAATTCTTGATTCTGTTATTCATTCAATAAACTAAGTGTCCTGTTATAAGCCTGACATCATTTCATACAGCAGAAAACGAAACAGGAAAATCCCTAACCTCTCAAAACACAAAGAAATAATTAAAGTATAGTAAGCCAGAGAGTCATAAGCACTAGGGAGAAAAATTAAGAGAAAAGGGAGATACTGAGAAAAGTGGTTACAATTTTTAATACAGAGGTTAGGGAAGAGGAGAGGGTAACAGTTGAGCAAAGACTTTAGGAAGGTCAGAGAAGAAGAAGCCATGTGCATATCCGAAGGAAAAGCATTTAGGCAGAAGAGCAGCAAGTGAAAAAAAATGAATCAATGATTCCCACATGTCATAGCCAAGAAGCTAGCAAAACAAAGACCTCTCCTATTCCTTTTAGAAAGAGACTTGACTACGACTTTGATAGAGTTCAGTATTCTAACGTGTCTTTGAAGTGAAAAAGGTGCAGCCGCTAGACCATATTGTATCTCTGTGTGAGTTGGAAAAAAGGCAACTCTGTCTCCAGGTGAATGCTTCCCTGTATCAAGGCACACAGCTTGAAGACTGGAAGGTGGGCTGGATTTCAGACCCCACTCTTTCCTCAGCCCGGTGTCCTTATGCAGGACACAACTTGCATGGCATTATGCAAATATACAAACAGATTTTCCTGTTCCATGAAATAACTGTTCTTTTAATAGAAAAAGGTCTTCCTTATTTCCAATTTTATATATATATATATATATATATATGTATATATGATGTGCTGGGGCAGGGGCAAATCTAATACTGAAATTCATTATGAGGAAATAATTTCAGAAAATTTATAATCTTATAAAACTTATAATCTTATAAATGTAACATATAAAACCTTATTAAAATTTAGTGTATCTCTAACTTCGATTATAATTCAGGGAGTCATATTTCTGAACACTATACCTAAAACTAAAGAAAACTGATAATAGGCTTATCTTGGCAATTATAAGTAAGTTGCATGAACACCATTTCTTTTCTTAGTTTTCGAATATTTAAAGTGATAACAAAGTGAGGTACTATTTTTGTAACAGTAGAATAATAGATGTATTCCTTAAATAGATTTATTTCTTGTAGAAAATTTATTATACCTAATTAATTTGAACTCTCTCCATAAAATTAACTTTATAGAACCAAAAACTTCTTTGCAAGAAGATTTTATCTACATTTGATTTGTTTGGTTTAGAACATTTATAAGTATGCTTCCCACAATGCCTTGCTAATTAATGCTAACTCTGAATAAAAGTTTAACTTCACCATTAAAATATTCATTAGAAATAGAAACCATAACACTTGGTAATCAAGAACGCCTGATTATTCATGATTTGTCCAAGATACAATTTGAACTTCTTAGAACAAAAACTCCCTGTACAGCTTTACAACAATTTTTTTTTAAACCTCACCTGAGGATATGCTTTTATTGATTTTTAGAGAGAAGAGAGAGAGGAAGAGAGAAACATCGATGTGAGAGAGAAACATGTGAGAGAAATATCAATTGGTTGCCTCTCCTATCTGCCCCGACTGGGAATTGAATCCCCAACCTAGGTATGCTCCCTGACCAGGGATCAAAACCCACCACCTTTTTGGTGTATGGGACAATACTCCAACTAACTGAGCCATCTGGCCAAGGCTACAACAATTTTTATTTATAGTACCCAATCTGTCTTGATATTAAAATTAAACTGAAGACTTATTTATTGTCACAATGAAAAACACCTCATATTTTTGTTATGAAATGTGGGATTTATGAAACTGGTGCAGAAGTGACAGTCGGACACTGTGAGGTTCGGAAAAGAGCCTTTAATGCAGTGCTGCTGGTTCAGGGGACTCTAAGATCCAGATCCTGAACAGCCTGGACAATGAGATTTCTCTACATATATTGAAGGGGTTAAAAAACAAAACAAAACAGGGAAGAGAAGTATTTATTGTGCTTAGCAGATATCTTGTAGAAAGCTTGCAGCCTTGAGCACAGCATAGCTCAGATACCCAGGAGACACCTGGCATGGGAGGAACTAAGGATAGACCAAACCCGTCTCCCACATTCTTTCACAAATGGAGTTAATTATAGGCTAGCAAGAGAGTGCAGTAGAAAGCAGGTTACTGGGACTAATTCAGATTGCTAGCCCCCCGAAAATGTCTCATTTTCCCTATAATTTTTTCATTGATAAGTATTTAACACTATTTTAAACACATACTATTAGCTATATTACCTAACATACCCAGTTCATGAAGAAAAATATTTTTGTTTTTATATGTCTTTTGTATATATTTTCTGACACTATACTTAGATTAAGCAAATAATTCACTTCCAGTTGAAAGTCATTTGTCATTAGAACCATGAAAGTGATCCAAATAGTAATTTTAAAAAACAAAAGTTCGAAGTCATATTATTTCCCTTTTTAGCCTTCCTAGTTCTGATTGGAGTTCAAAACATATTACTGATTTAATGACTGGTTCAAATAAATTTGTCAATAGCGTGAACTCCCACGTTTCCTTAGCCTTATTGCTGGGAAATTAATAATAGTTGAGAAAAAATTTAAAAGGCATAAGTTTTAGCCCTGTGAAAGTGAGGATTATAAGATAATAAGTTTCTATTATCTGATTCTCAGTCCATTTGCTTAATGAATAATATGAGAAGCATAGAGGCAGAATTTAAATGGACATAAGCACAACAATAAGTATAAGAAGATTTACTGCCTCCATCAAAACTAACATACACATTTACAGAGCATCCAAATGGAGAAGCTGTCTCTTGTGATTCTTTAAAGATTCTTTAGGAGAGCAATTTCAATAAATTACAACACTTCAAGCTGCCTGGGCCATGGATTTACTTTCATTTCAATAAAGATACAAATTATGCTAATTTGCAATCTTAAATTGAATTGAGATCTGCACTTAGCCTCTAACATTACCATTAACTATCTAAATTTTATATCTGTTGTAGTAAACTAGTGCTTATGTATAAATACTAAAATCTACTACTAGTAATCAGAATGTAAGTTCCATTTTTGTCTGCATTGTTTTTCACTGATGACTTTACTACAAATGCACAGCACGCCAAACTTTGACAAAAAAAGGTTTTGTTTTACTATCTCAGTATGAGATTCCTGTGCCACCTGCTACTGTTATACAATACTGTAACATAGATGCTAATATATATAATTAGTCATTTTAAGGCAGTGGTCGGCAAACTCATTAGTCAACAGAGCCAAATATCAACAGTACAACGATTGAAATTTCTTTTGAGAGCCAAATTTTTTAAACTTAAACTATATAGGTAGGTACCTTGTTATTAACTTAATTAGGGTACTCCTAAGGCTTAGGAAGAGACACACTCAAGGGGCTAAAGAGCTGGATGTGGCTTGCGAGCCTCAGTTTGCTGACCAAGGTTTTAAGGTGAACAAGAGAGACAACTATACTTTTTATTTTATTTACTAGAGGCCTGGTGCATGAAATTCATGCATAGGGAGTGTGGGGGTCCCTCAGCCCAGCCTGCACCCTCTCGCAATCCGGGACCGCTGGCTCCTAACTGCTAGCCTGCCTGATAGCCCCTAACCACTCGCCTGCCTGCCTGATCACCCCTAACTGCCTCTACCTTGGCCCCACTCTTTCTCTTCTAAGAGGCCTTTCCTGAGTTACCTCTAAGCTTAATTTGCCATTCACTTCCTTTCCTGTCAGTGTACTCTGCATAATTCTAGCCAACCTTCTTCAATTAAACTGTATGTTTTCTGAGATCAGGACCTGGATCTCTCTCATCTCTGTATATCCCAAAGTGCCCACCCACTACAGTGTCTAGCACTGCGTAAGAACTCAATAATTACTTGTAGTATAAATAACTGTTTATTCATTTAGTACTGTATTTTTCAAACTTTTCCCCAGGAAATATAATATCTAGAGAGAATAAAAAGCAAATCTCCTCAGAATTCTATGAAAATGCCCTAAAGCAACCTTATTTAAATATACATTTTCTTAAGTTTTGGTGAAGTCTTTCGTTTTTCTCTTAGACTTCATATTCTATTCCAGGCTAGATCTGCATTTTTTTTTTTTACCTCAGAATACCAACACCTTCCCCACCAAGTTACTTCTTATTAGGGGAATAGGTCTAAGACTTATGAGTACAGAGATGAAGGGAAATAAAGTGTTAGCAGCACTGGGGAGATGATGCATAATATATATAAATCATTAAATGAAAGGGAAGTACCTACACAAATTATAAAAACCGGGATTAAAACTAGGAGAAACTTGTGAAAGTGTCTGCTCTCCAAAGGGAATTCAGAAGCAGAATTTAGATGATATGAGACAAGAACAAGACAAGATTCTAAATAAACCCCAGAATTCAGAAAGAAAATGTTCTCAAAATGTGTACATGAACTGAGCTTGAAAGAGTGTCAGAAATTAATGAGATAATACAAAGATAAAGGAAGTTTCAACAATACATAAATGTAAAGAGAAACCACATATACCCATTAGGTAATAGAAAAATGGATACTTACCTTATGTTAAACCAGAACATATCTGAAGTGGACTCCATATACACTAAACTTCTTTGCAAAGTTCTCTTAAACTTTTTCACATTCTCTCCTTCCCTTGTTTTTACAGACCAACATTATAATGCTTCCTATGCTCAGCTTAGTGAAATTCCAAAGAGACAGTGTCTCTCTGATATACGGAAATGCTTTTGGTCTATGAATTTCTATTTTTAAAAATCATAGAAATTTATCTAGGCTCCAAAGCAACAATGCTAGAAACTTTATATTAACACATTACTAATCTCTAATATCAATTATGAGTAGGGGAAAAACCCACTAAAATTCAGAACTTTTAATATACTTTCAAAAAGAAGTTTATAAAATTTTATAAATTAACTTATTGTCTTCTTAAAGTTCTTTTAACTTAAATAAACTATAAAAATCATTTTGAACTTTATTTAACTCAGGGGTTGGCAAACTTCTGTAAAGGGTCAAGTAGTAAATATTTTAGGCTTTGTGGGCCAAGAGGCAAAACCAAGGATAAAATACAGAGGTCTCTGTTGTAACTACTTGACTCTGCTGTTGCAGCAAATTACTTAAGTTCTATATTTTTATTTTTTCAACTACTTACAAGTGTAAAACCATCCCTAATTTATAGGCTACTCAAAAACAGGTGGCAGGCCAGATATATTCCATAGGTCATAGATTGCCAACCTCCTATTCTAGTCTAAGACGTACTTGGAGAATTATCTTCAAGAAAAAATACACGTTAAAGGAAATGAAAATGGGATATAAAACAGTGTATATATAGTATGAGCCCAGTATTTGAAGAAAAGATATGTCTATGTGTGTGTCTGTGCATACACACAAACATACCTACTCATGAAAAAAAAAAACCATAAAAAGGACCAAAGCAATTGTATCAAAATGTTTACAGTAGAATAAAGGGTTAGGTTTTTAGTTTCTCCTTTATAAATATTTTTATTTTTCAAATTTTCTACAATAAACCTATAATTGCTTTATAATTAGAAAAAAAAATTTCAATCCTAATTTTTTACCTAAAATTCTATAATTTAAAATACTGATCTTATACATACCTTTGAGGGTTTGCACCTGATTCTGCTTGAGTACAGAGCTTAAGTAGTGAGGTGATAAAGAGCCACTGAAAAAGAGATAAGACAAAAGTGATTATAAGAATCTTTATTTTGCTTGTTACAGAACTCAGTTACAAACACAACTAATTTCTAAAAAAAAAACCCCAAACTATTTTTACCTTGTTTTCTTTGTTTAATACTACTCAGTTTAGGAAGAGAATGCCAAAGCAGAAAGAGCGTAAGATTAAGATTAAATCACCACTATTTGGATGTTCTTAGGCAAAATAATTAATCTCTTAGTTTCTTCATCTGCAAAATAGGAATAATTAAACCTCCCATATAGAGATGCTCTGCCAATTAAATAAGAACAATGCATTTAAAATACCTGGAACAATAAAAACAAAAATTAAAATAAAATAAAATAAAATAAAATACTTGGAACAATAGCAATACATAATAGTTACTACTTGGTGTTGTATTGGATGCTTAAGTTTGACGTTATATCACTATAGGTATTACCACAAAAATTGAAGAGTTTATAAAAACAAATGTTTAAGGAGCACTGAATGGTAATGATGCAAAACAGATTAAGTTCCTGATTTTATTAGTAAATATCATTATCACATTGAACTTTCTATATCCATGAAAAGAGACCAGCAATTTCTTCTTAATTCCAAAGATTAAAACATTTTTGGGACAAACTACTTCTGTTTTTTGGAGTTTGTGAGAGTGTAAGAAATGTATTTTTCTAACTAAATTAAAAGTCTATTTTCTACTCACAGTTTTATATACATTGTATCTCATGCTCTTCCTCAGAATTACCAATTATGATATGAAAGGGCCACACAAAGGCAGGTCAGCTGGAACTATCATTTTGCCAAGTAATGTAAAAGAGAAAATGTTTCTAAAAATAGTTAGGTGCCCTAGTCAGTTTGGCTCAGTGGATAAAGCATCGGCCCACAGACTAAAGGGTCCCCGGTTCAATTCCAGTCAAGGGCATATACCTCAGTTGCAGGCTCGATCCCCAGCCCTGGTTGAGACCTATGTGGGATGCAACCAATCAATGTGTCTCTCTTACATCAATATTTCTTTCTCTCTCTCTCCCCCACCCTTCCCCTCCCTCTCTCCCTCTCTCTCTCTCTCTCTCTCACTCTCTCTCTCTCTGGAAAAAAAAAAAATCAATCAATGGAAAAATACCCTCAGGTGAGGATTAACAGAAAAAATAAATTAAAAAGTAAACAAAAATGCTTAGTAATGTTTCAAGATCAAAGATTATAACCTTTATGTTGTCATTATTTTATCTACCTATTTTAAGCCATAGATCATTTTATTTACCTTTAAACATGATAAAGCTGAAAATGCAACATACCAAAGACACAATGAAGTGTGTTTTTGTTGGTATACAAAAAAATTGCACCAATTCTCCTATTTAATCTTTTTTTCTTTAAATCCTTACCTAAGGATATTTTTCCATTGATTTTCAGAGAGTGGAAGGGAGGGAGAGGAGGGGAAGAGAGAGAGTAACATCAATATGAGAGACACATTGACTGGTTGCTTCCTGCACCCAACGCATCCAGGCCAGGGAAGAATCTGCAACCGAGGTACGTGCCTTTGACAGGGAATCGAACCCTCTACCCTTCAGTGCGTGAGCCGATGCTATAACCACCTAAGTACACCAGCCAGGGCTCCCATTTAACCTTTAATTTAAAAAATAGCATAGCTAAATAAAACACATAAGTGACCTTCACTGAACTTATCAGTTTCTAAATTTAGAATGTTGGTGCTTTAACCAGAACATAAGCACCAACATTAACTAATAAAGATATCAACTCCTGGAGAACCAAGATGGCGGCATAGGTTAACGCCGGAGTTTGCTGCTTTGAACAACTACTTCAAAAGTGAAACCAAAAAACGGAAGGGACATCACCCAGAACCACAGGAACTCCGGCTGAGTGGAAGTCCTACAACTAGGAGGAAAGAGAAACGCATACGGACACTCAGAGGAGGCGCAGTGCTGAAGTCAGATTCTGAGGTGCGGAGTGCGCGGAGCGAGCTGGGGGAGGAGGGCCCGGTTGGCGTTTTCAATCGGGAGGGAGTCGCAGACTCTGAGCTCCAGATACGGGCGAGTCTTTAGCGACCCAGACTCAAACGGGAGAAGCGGGACTGTCTGGCTTCGGTCAGAGCGAGTGTAGCTTTCTCTCCGAGCTTTGCATAGGGTGCTGGGACTCAGAGGGGCAGAGCCCCTGGGGACAGGACTGAGAGCCGCCATAACTGCTCTCTCTGGCCCACCCTGTTGATCCTGTGCGCCCCGCCCCGCCCAAGCCCCGCACACAGGCATTTGCCGGATAGCCTCAGGCAAAGGCTAGATTAGCACCTCCCTAGAGGACAGAAGTTCTCTCACTGCTGACACAGCTGATTCTCATAGCCACTTGGCCTGGAGGTCAAACCCTCCCTGGAATTAGCTACAACAATCAAGATTTAACTATAAGACTGCGAACAAAGACCACTAGGGGGTGCACCAAGGAAGCATAACAAAATGCGGAGACAAAGAAACAGGACAAAATTGTCAATGGAAGATATAGAGTTCAGAACCACACTTTTAAGGTCTCTCAAGAACTGTTTAGAAGCCGCTGATAAACTTAATGAGATCTACAAGAAAACTAATAAGACCCTCGATCTTATATTGGGGAACCAACCAGAAATTAAGCATACACGGACTGAAATAACGAATATTATACAGACCCCTGACAGCAGACCAGAGGAGCGCAAGAATCAAGTCAATGATTTGAAATGCGAGGAAGCAAAAAACACCCAACCGGAAAAGCAAAATGAAAAAAGAATCCAAAAATGCGAGCATAGTGTAAGGAGCCTCTGGGACAGCTTCAAGCGTACCAACATCAGAATTATAGGGGTGCCAGAAGATGAGAGAGAGCAAGATATTGAAAACCTATTTGAAGAAATAATGACAGAAAACTTCCCCCACCTGGTGAAAGAAATGGACTTACAGGTCCAAGAAGCGCGGAGAACCCCAAACAAAAGGAATCCAAAGAGGACCACACCAAGACACATCATAATTAAAATGCCAAGAGCAAAAGATAAAGAGAGAATCTTAAAAACAGCAAGAGAAAGAAACTCAGTTACCTACAAGGGAATACCCATACGTCTGTCAGCTGATTTCGCAACAGAAACTTTGCAGGCCAGAAGGGAGTGGCAAGAAATATTCAAAGTGATGAATACCAAGAACCTACAACCAAGATTACTTTATCCAGCAAAGCTATCATTCAGAATTGAAGGTCAGATAAAGAGCTTCACAGATAAGGAAAAGCTAAAGGAGTTCATCACCACCAAACCAGTATTATATGAAATGCTGAAAGGTATCCTTTAAGAAGAGGAAGAGGAAGAAAAAGGTAAAGATACAAATTATGAACAACAAATATGCATCTATCAACAAGTGAACCTAAGAATCAAGTGAATAAATAATCTGATGAACAGAATGAACTGTTGATTATAATAGAATCAGGGACATAGAAAGGGAATGGACTGACTATTCCTGGGGGGGAAAGGGGTGTGGGAGATGCGGGAAGAGACTGGACAAAAATCGTGCACCTATGAATGAGGACAGTGGGTGGGGAGTGAGGGCGGAGGGTGGGGCGGGAACTGGGAGGAGGGGAGTTATGGGGGGAAAAAAAAGAGGAACAAATGTAATAATCTGAACAATAAAGATTTAATTTAAAAAAAAAATAAAGAAGCAAAAAAAAAAGAAGAAAAAAAAAAAAAAAAAAAAAAAAAAAAAAGATATCAACTCCTAAACAATGAAGATATAATCTGATAACTTCTTTTCTAGATTTCATTTGTAAGAATAAATCACTCAGTTTTTGTTACAATGATCCTTTTACTTACTAATATGGTAAACAAGCTTAAAATCTCTAAGAGTATCCTAGATAATAAAAGGCTAATATGCAAATCAACTGAACAGCAGAACGACTGGTCACTATGATGTGCACTGACCACCAGAGGGCAGACGCACAACACAGGAGCTGCCCAACACAGGAGCTGCCCCCTGGTGGTCTGTGCGCTCCCACAGGGGACTGCTGCTCAGCCAGAAGCCCTGAGCCAGGCTCACAGCTGGTGAGCACAGCAGTTGGCAGGAGCCTCTCCCACCTCCTTGGGAGTGCTAAGGACGTCCAACTGCAGGCTTAGGCCCGCTCCCTAAGCCATCAGTCGGACATCCCCCAAGGGCTCCCAGACTGCGGGACTCCCGAGTGCACAAATTTCGTGCACCAGGCCTCTAGTATGTACATAAATTTCAGCATTAGCCTTATTGTTTTTTACTGTATTTCAGCTACCTGTAAAAGTTATCTAATAATATTTTAAGAAACTAGTATGTGAAGTGGTGATAATTGTTGTAGCTGGGAATTCTTTTAACTTTCTCCCTACTTTTTTGTATGTTTGAAAATTTCCATTTATTACTTTAATTAAAAAGGTTTAAAATTTTTCCAAAAATCACATTAACCATTACAGATAACTCTTAAAAATATCTTGACAAAATCTGGCATTTTTAACTCAAATGAATGTACATTAATAGAATTCAAAAAGATTCTAAAGGCTTCTCTAGAAAAAGGAAACCAAATCAGATTTAAGGAAGTCATATCATTATCAGATGCAATTTAAAATGGGAAAGCTATAAGACCAATAGGAGTCACTGAGTTTGAAAGCAAAAGGCAAGGAAATACTTTACAACTGTATTTACCCGCAAAATCAAAACAAAATGTTACAATGACAAACAATCATCTTACTTAAACATTTTAAAATATACCTTTAATTTCCCACATCATTAGGTCAGCATTAATATTGCAGACAATTCAAATGATTTAGTCTTTTGTAACTAAAATCACATAACTGTCTTTAGAGTTTAGTTATAATATTAATTCAGTACTGACTACATTTCCCAGAATTTATGTTGTTACTTATCCAATATCCTGTTTCCTAATAACACAAGTTAGACTATAAGTAAAACTGCCTTACGCTAATGTCTTATCCATGAATAATTGTCAATAAAAAAATGCCAAACCCCTACAACTTTGTTGAATTTCTCCATCTCATACAGGGAAATCTTATAAAGCACCATTGATATTTATATGAAAGATCCTGTACCTTTCTGGAGATGTTAATGCTGAAGGGAAAGGTTGCTTCTTCAGAGCTTGCATAAGGTTGGGTTTATATTCTGGATCAACACACCATAAGGAACCTTTCCCATTAACCTAGAATAAAATACACAAGAATTAATAACCTGGAACTTTGTGAAAATGATATAACCCCTAGTTATACGGTGACCAGCATGGACGGCTGTACAAAGTGGCCCTCCACACTTTCCGATGTCAATAAATGTTAGCCATTACTAGTATTATTGTTACTGAAAACTCAAAAAGAAAAGGAAACTTTCTATGCAGCATCATAGGGAATACTTTAGGGAATATGATACTAAGTGAGGCATCAAAGAATAATTCCTATTTTTTAATGGCATTAACAGCAAACAATTTAATGACGATAATGGCAAATTCCTCAATGAGTAGTAAGTTGGTGACACAGGTATGGAAAAGACTCTTGTAAAAAATTATAAAAACTCTGGTTGGGGGTTCAGTTTTTTGTTGCATCATCCTATACAGCAAAAGGTCGCGAGTTTGATTCTTGGTCAGGGCATATACCTGGGTTGCAGGTTTGATCCCCGGTCAGGGCGCACACAGGAGGCAACAGATAATGTTTCTCTTTCACATCTATGTCTTTCTGTCTGTCTCTCTCCATCCCCCTTCCTTTCTTGCAATATATCCTCTGGTTAGGATTAAGTATACACATGTGCGCGCGCAAACACACACACACACACACACACACACACACACACACACACGAAAGAAGCATTGATTCCTTCTCTTAAGATGGTTAAGTTTCAACAGTTGAGGGACTTCTGGATAATATGGCTGGCAATGGGCACACAAGCTCAGAGGCCATTAAAATAAATACTCAATGGAATCTAAAAATAATGGAATTTGTAGGATTCTGGAAACTAGAGAATCTATTAATAAAAGCGCCTACTAAATTACAAATGGAAGGTGCCTGAAAGAAAGGCTTACTTGATTCATAGTTCCCATAATAAGAAGGAACAGCTTATGAAGAAGGTAAGTGAACAAGATACCTGAAGAACCTCATAATATTATCTAACATGCAGGAGAAAGGCCAGGCTATGAGGTAACTCCTTTGAATAGGTTTGAAGATGCTGCATATTTTACCTCCCTCCTTCTTAAATTACACTACATATTAGTAGATTAGGAATCAAAACAATCCTGCTATAATTAAACCTGCTTTATGTGGTTCCCCAAAATTATTTGACACAGAACCTCTTTATCCCAGGTAATATTTAAGAAGTTAGTGTTCTGTGGAATGCTGATGAGAAAAACTGATGTAATTAGTGAACTCTTATAGAATATACTTTCCAAATATTAATGGGGAAAAACTATAAACATTGACTATACCATGAAGAAAAATTAATTCCCTTTTAAAGATCCCAATTTTGGACTCCAACACAAAAAGAAAATAAAAATTAACAATCTCACAACAAAGTTCGCTGACCACTTGGAAATTTATAACCATTCTTGGATTAAAAAGCTATCCAAACTAAAATTACAGATTATCTAGTATCTAAAGCAGGGGTCCTCAAACTTTTTAAACAGGGGGCCAGTTCACTGTCCCTCAGACTGTTGGAGGGCCAGACTATAGTTTAAAAAAAAACTATGAACAAATTCCTATGCACACTGCACATATCTTATTTTGAAGTAAAAAAACAAAACGGGAACAAATACAAAATTTGTATTTGCACGTGGCCCGCGGGCCGTAGTTTGAGGACCCCTGATCTAAAGGGTATAAGAAATATTGTTGTATCGAAACTAAGCAGATGTGGCCCGAGCTGAACTTAAAGGCAAATTTATATCCTCAAACATTTTCATTCTTAAACAAGAACTGAAATATCTTAAACAAGCTTTTGTCACATCTACAGGGGAAAAATAAAAAAGAAAATTACATAATATTTTATAATGTAAATATATTATATAAAATCATGTAAAAAGAAAATTGATAAATATATAAACTAAAAATTGGGAAAAGAATAGAATTAATAAATTCAAGAGAGTTTTTAAAAAACCATCAGTATCCCATACACACTAGTTGAGCAAGTCAAATGAAATAACTGAAGGGCCCTGGTCAGATAGCTCTGTTGAAACATCGTCCTGATGTATATCAAGATTGTGGGTTCCGTCCCAGGTAGGGGCACATGCGGGAGTCAAACAATGTATAAATGAATGGGTGGGGCAACAAATCAATGTCTGTCTCTCTCTCTCCCTAATCAATGAATAAAAATATTTAAAAAAAGGAAATACTGAAGGACTTTAGGAACTGTCATATCACTCATTAACTCTTCCTATTAATTTTCCTATTTCCTTAGCTGAACATCCCTACCTACACATCCTGAACAGAAGCCCGACTACAAGCATATTTCTACACATGTACCACATTCACAAACAGAACTCCATAGCCATGCAAAGAGCAAGTCCAATGGCAATCTCATCCCACTTCCCCAGAGCTAAAGACTATTCATACAGTGATTAAGAAGGCAAGCCTTGGAATCAGGCTGCTTACTTTAGAAACTGGTTCTGTCACTTAACAGCTGTGTAACCTTTAGAAAAATGTATATGTTCTCTGTGTATTAGTGTGCTCAAAATATCTCTATATAAATTGTACCTACTTCAAGAATTACTTTATTATAAGTTAATTCACAAAAGTGTTTAGAATAATGCCAGACATTCAACAACTCAACAAATGTTGGCTACTAGATATTTTTCTCCACAAATGTAAAAATCATTTACAAGTATAACCTGTCCTCTCTCCTACCATATGATTTTCAAAACTTCCTCAGAACCTCAGAACTAACTCAGGAGATTAGTGAAATTCAAACTATAAATTTGTTAACCCTTTCTTTAATTTGATTTACTTAACAATTACTTAGACAACAATAAAATTTACATGTTTTCTGTTCCCCTGCTCCCTGTTATTTATATAAAATCTTATCCTATCTAATAATAGAGAAACATGGTAATTAACAGTAACTTCGCTACCCTTTCCATTGGCTAATCAGCGAGATATGCAAATTAACTGCCAACCAAGATGGCGGCCGGCAGCCAGGCAGCTGAAGCGAACAGGAGGCTTGCTCGCTCCAGTGATGGAGGAAGCCACGGTTCCACGCCTGCTGCTGCTGGGCTCTGAGCTGCAGTCTAAGAAACAATGTTGCAATTATAGAAGCTAAACCATCCCCAGAAACCTGCTTTCAGCCAGCTGGGATCTCAGAGCTAGAGTTGCAACAGTGTTACAATTATAGAACCCAAACAAACCCAGACACCTGCTTTCAGCAGCCGAGGTCTCAGAGCTGGAGCCGAGCCTCAGAGCTAAAGCCGGCTCTCAGCTCCAGTGACAGCCATAGAAGGTAAATAAATCCCAGAATAAAGAAAAAAAGGAGAGGTTGGGAGCTTCAGTCACCCGCCAGCCTGAAAACGGCCCTCAGCCCCTCACCCAGACTGGCCAGGCACTCCAGTGGGGACCCCCACCCTGAAGGGGGTGTGGCCAGCTGCAAACAGCCATCATCCCTTCATCCAGGCTGGCCAGGCACCCAAGCGGGACCTCCACCCTGATCTGGGACACCCTTCAGAGCAAACCAGCCGGCCCCCACCCGTGCACCAGGCCTCTATCCTATATAGTAAAAGGGTAACAGGCAAACTGACCCTAATAGCAGAAAGACTGGGAATGACTGGTCACTATGACACACACTGACCACCAGGGGGCAGACGCTCAATGCAGGAGCTGCCCTCTGGTGGTCAGTCCGCTCTCACATGGGAGGAGCTCTGTTCAGCCACAAGCCAGGCTGATGGCTGCCAGTACAGCGGTGGTGGTGGGAGCCTCTCCTGCCTCCTCAGCAGCGCTAAGGATGTCCGACTGCAGCTTAGGCCTCCTCCCCGCTGGCAAGTGGACATCCCCCGAGGGCTTCCGGGCTGCCAGAGGGATGTCTGATTGCCATCTTAGGCCCAACTCCCCAGAGTCCTAAAAAACAAAACAAAAAAACACTGAGGCCCTGGCCAGTTTCGCTCAGTGGATGGAGCGTCGCCCTGCGGGCTGAGGGGTCCCGGGTTTGATTCCGGTCAAGGGTGTGTGCCTTGGCTGCCGGCGCATCCCCAGTGGGGGGTGTGCAGGAGGCAGCTGATCGATGTTTCTTACTCTCTATCCCTCTCCCTTACTCTCTGTAAAAAAATCAATAAAATATATTTGAAAAAAACACACACAAAAAACACTGAGGTCCTAAACAGTGCTTCTTGATTGGCTATGTGATAATCAACAAATCATATCTCTAAGAGTCAGTCCTCTCATGCATAATTTATCTGTAAAATAAAAAACCAGGTCATCACTAAGTTGTGATGAGATTCAAAGAAGGTAATTCATATGTAAGTGACAGAGATAAAAAATAAGTTAATACTAGGAGGATATTCTAAAATTGGCATATGTAAAGTGAGAGATTATATGGTTTAATAACAGTATATTCTTATTCCTTTACTTCTAAGAGATGAGGTAGTTTTAAAAAACAGTAAGAACAAAAGTCAATTAATTCCAGCCCGGTTGGTGTGGCTCAGTGGTTGAGCATTGACCCATGAACTAGGAGGTCATGGTTCAATTCTTGGTCAAGTCACATGCCTGTGTTTTGGGCTTGATCCCCAGTAGGGGGGCATGCAAGAGGCAGCTAGTCAATGATTCTCTCTCATCACTGATGCTTCTATCTCTATCTTCCCCTCCTTTCCTCCCTGAAATCAATTTTTTAAAAACTCAATTAATTTGGAATAAGAAACAAAGTCAGGTAGTAAAGAACAAGGGGTAAACTAAATTTAGAAAGGAAAAAAGCCCTCGTCTGAGGAAAGGTATGGTAATTGATGTAAGGCAGTGTTTAGCATCCTAGCAACTTAAATACATAGGAAAAGAAAAACCATGGGTGTCCTATCACACTGTAATATAGAAAGAAATATACCACATATCAGGTAAAACGTTTTTGTTTTTTTCTTTCAGTGGCAAGATACCACATGAACTATGCTAAACAAATATTTGAAATTTTGGGGTTTTTTTTCCCCAAAGGAAGTTAAGTTTACAAATATACTTTTAGATTAAATGATGGAACTTC